GAGAGTGACTTCGGGACCATTCTGCCCAGCTTACACATAAGGAAACGGGCTCAGTGGTCAGCACGGCCAAGATCACATGGTAATGGCCGGTCCTCTCCCAGGGAGCTGTGCTTTCTAAGGGAGTGAAAGTAGGGTCTCTTTAGTGAAACAACACGTGTGTCTTGTAGACAGAACATGTCACATGTTCATTTTTCCACCCCAACCGCATCTCTGTCTATATGGCAGTAGGGGAATGTAGCCTACTCACATGTATGATGATCATGAATCTAGTTGGCAGTGGGAGTCACTGAGTGAGTCACGCTTGAGGTCAGGTGGGGTGCAGTGACAGCCCTTCTCTTAGGCCGTGTGGTCGCCTCGCTTCCTCGGAAGACCACTACAGAAACCCTGCCCCTGCTTCAAGCAGGCTCCTCGAATCCCCCAAACAGCAAGCAGTTCAACCTGTCCTCCCTGTCAGCAACTCCTCATCTGATGACGGGGCTCCGACTCCGCTTGCATCTTCCCAGGAGACCAGCTGTCTGGCTATGGCCAGTGGGTAGACCTGGACCCTCCTCCCCGCCCTCAAGACACTTCCTAGTGACACACACAGTAGGAAGTGCATGTGCGCCTGTGTGTCCTCACAGGCCCGCCTCCGGGAGAGGCCAGGATTGTGACAAGCACAGGAAGCTCACCAGGCAGGTGACCCACACTTTGGGCTCCAGTCCCATTGCTGCTCCACCCCAGCTCGCTGTCCCCACAGGGCCTCTAGCCTTGTTAGACAGTTTTCCTTCTCCTCCTTCAAAGTCAGCCAAAGGACCGCCTCCTCAGAGAAGCCCTCCCTGACCACCTGTCCTCAAGTGGCACTGGCCCCACCACTCTGCCCACCTGGCCACTAGCTAACCCCCTCCCTTTTTGAGTTCCTCCAGAGCGCTGTCACAAAGGAAATGGTCTTGTTTGTTTGTTTGTGAATTTATCATTCATCTCCCAGGGCTAGAATGTCCCTTCCCTGCCTTGTTTATCCCTGTACCTTCAGCACCCAGAATAGGACCTGGGATGTGGGAGATGCACAAGTATGTATGAAGTGAATGAGCAAGACTGTGGGAAGCACGATGAGACTATTAAGCACCCCGAGAACATTAGCCAGGGGTGGGCCCTGTTCCCTCCTTCCATCCTTTTGCAGGCTTTCCATGAGGTTCCTATTTTATAGGAAACTGAAGCTAAAACCAAATCTCATGGACTGGAAAGCCAGGCACCAAGTTGACATGCCTGCTGATTTAAACCTCAGAACGTGGCTGTTATATGCAGATGCTCCCCGTGAAAGAATGGGGCTCATGGGGCTCCTTGGAATAACAATTGAATAGCTACAGA